TGTTTTTATTGACATTTTCATGGCAGCCTGCATTCATTGACGTCTACGCATTAACAAAAAAAATGCTTTTAAAATTTTTACTAATGATGCTAGGTTTATGCAGTGTTTTTGTTGCATTTGACTGATTGTAGTTAATATGACTTAGGAGAGAGTTGAGCACATCCTCTTCAATGCACTGCTATTGAACTTAATCCACTTCATGCTCCAATTGGTTTCCATTGTTGCTGCTTTCCGTCCTAGGCTCCATAAGAGTATAGAATCCCTTAAAGTTGAAACGAAGGAGGCTTTTGAGGCTTAATGGCTTTCATAAACATGCATATCAACATCCTGTGTCTGGCAGTATGCTTTCAATTTGGGGGTCAATTTTGCGTGGGCGGTGGAAAACCAATCGTCTGGCGCGGCACGCCTTGGTACTCCTTACAGTAAATTGGTTCGATGTGCCCTTTAATGCTTCCGCATGTTATGGCTATCAAGTGCGTGCCATATTTTTCTCCTTTTTTTTATGCTTCTAAGTCGCCGAAGGAGGTCTTAGGAACAAGGCTCGACATTCACACCAATTTATAGCGGTTATCTTCACTATCATTTTCGACTATTTATGCAGTCCAACACGCCATACTTTTTAAACACGAGCCATTCAATTTTATCATCAGACTAATGATAAGTTCACATTGTAACAGACAAATTAACATTCCTTTTGGCATGTTTTCCTTTCTGCTTCCAAGGCACTTCTTCCTCAACAGTCCCAATGAATCCTGAGACAATGGCAGATACTCAGATGGTTACACAAAGACCGGAGGGGTTCGATGTTTCTCAAACATTGCCTCAACAACAGATGCGCGAGTCCTATTCACCGATTGACACGCATCGCATTCAGTGCTACCCACAGCAGACTGCAAGCCAGATTCCCTTTGCGCGAGCCTCCTATCCTCAAGCGATTGATTACATGGAACTTGGATCTTCTAATCCTTATTATTTTCAATGCTCATTTTCACTTCCTTCTATTGGAGTTTCAAGCACTAATCCTCAACTCATTTCACAGACAGATAATCCCCTTCTTCCTGCAAATATTCCCACTTCTACTCCTGTTTATACCCCTTTGCAGCCAATGCGACTGGGAACACACACAAGCTTTGACCAGTCTTCATCGTCCTGTGAGCGAATAGAAGTTCTTGTCAATCGTCGTAGTGTAAGTGTACCACAGACGCTTTCCTGCTGCGACGTCTCACCATTCATCAATAGCAGCAGCGCGCATCCTACAGCTGCTGCGACAGACCAGGTCTTGAATCCAGGTTACTCCTTCATTAAACAAGAATCTTTCGAAATGCCTGGTGAAGTACGTCGCTCTAGCTGCTCTAGTCTCACCATTCGCCCTCGTCGGAGCCTCCCCACACCCTCAACGTCAATTACATCAAAGGAAAAGCAGTTTGTCTGCAATGCAGAGGGCTGTGAAAAGCGCTTTGCCCGAGTAGATGAACTGAAGAGGCATCAGAGGACGCATAGTGACATTCGACCGTACACATGCAACATATGCGACAAGGGCTTCACGCGTAGTGACCACTTGATTACACACAGACGGACACACACGGGAGAGAAGCCCTATCCCTGTCAGTACTGCGAGCGCTGCTTTGCACGCTCTGATGAGCGTTCGCGCCACGTAAAAACTCACACGAATCCGCGACCCAGCACAAGTACGCGCGGACGCAGACCCAGCACCAAATACCAACTTCGCAAACCTCTGACACCTCAACAGTCCCAGCAGCCTGCACACCCTTCCGGGTTGCAGAGTCAAGCAACATTTCAGCAGATGGAGTTGAGCGGTGCTAGCAGTGATACCAGCTATAGCCAAAGCGAATCATATAATGTGTACCAACAACAGCCTCCGCCACCTCCACCTCCTCCTCCGCAGTGAAGCGGTCAGATT